GGGTAACTCGTAATAGGGTACGCTTGGAATTAAAGCTGTATCATCAAACATCTGTAAGAAACGAATATGAGGCAGCTGAAGTGATAATTTTGACCGATAAAAATGAAAGAAACTTTACAATATCAACAAAATAACTCAACATTCCACATTACATCGAATAAGAATCTGGGGAACACCAAAGGCGTGAAACTGAGATAACAGCATCTTAAATAATCTATGAAATCGATCACAACTTACATTCTGCGGTGGAGGCCCAAAAACGGGAGCTTGCGAAGGAACACGAAATGGAGGACGAGCTGTTTGGACTTCACTTTCATTTTTACGATTTTTATTCTGTAAACCAGTGTTGAATTCGTCGTCATCGTAAATAACATATGATGGATCATCTTCATCAGGCCGGGCATGATATATATCTGAAAGTTATGATATATATCTGAAAGATCCTCGAAAATGCATTGGATATCAACACAAGTTGGTGAAATGTAATGTATGCCTATATTCTTTCCAAGCTTATTTGATTTCACAACAGGTTAATAAAAAGAAAATGACAGTTCCAATCAACAAACGATTTATATTTTATATTACTCTTAGATAACCATTTAGAGTGTTTGATGTTTCTAGAATTATTTCTTTGTATGTTTTGACACTACTAGGCGTGGACATAACGCGTGAAGTCCTTGGATTATGTGAAAATTATGAGCAGTAAAAAAAGAATGACAAAAGCGATTTTGGTCATTTTCAAAATTACCTTTGGGTGATGGAACATTTGTATGTGGTAGTGGAGCAGTGAAAAAGCGACCGTAATCATTTTCTGGCGGTATATTGGTGAAATTATTTTGCGCTGGCGGTGGTCCTGCAATCTTCTGGTCAAAACGTGACCTTCGTTCGCGACGATTCAACGGTGATGGTCCTTCAGGTATTATTGCTGGTGGTGCTGGTGGCATTGTAGGTCCTGATGCGGGTGGAGGCATGCCTGGAAAAATTTGTTTCATACAACAGATTGTCAAGGAATTAGTTCCATAATTTTTTATAATATTTATAAAGGTAACTGCGTACACAATCACAAAGGACTACATTAGTAATTTGCTGTGCAGTTTGCCTAAAAGATTTATACCACAGGAATTTAGAGCTCCTGTAAAGACTGAATAGTATCCAATCCTAAATCAACGTGACAGTGAATCATTCGAACAAAATTAAATTACAAGTGATTAATTTAACAAATTTATGTACCGTATTAAATCAGCCAAATTTAATAGTTCAAGCTTTACTTTGTTTTATCCTTTCGGCTTCAATTTGTTGTTGAAGCAGAGCAATCTGCGTCCTACAATGCAATGCAAATTCCTGGTGCTGCTGCTCATAACCTTTATAAGTTGCCAGTAATTGTGCATGGATTTCCGCCGCTTTCTTTGCATATTCTGCTTGTTGCGCATTTTTCCAGTTTTGATATAATAGCAGTGGATTTCGTAATTGCTGAAAATTATATCAAATAATTCATCATTTTTTTAAAATGCATTCTATAATGCATGACAAATATTTTATAGAATGTTATCGTGCTACATAATGTCAACCTCATCTCATTCAGAGATGCGACTGCAATGTTACTTCATTGTTTTACTAATACAATAAATACTAGGTTAATTCAATTATTACTAGTCTACTCTAATCAATTGATATATATGAAAAGAGATCGAAGTTCCAAGTAACCATCAAATACAAAACATACTTTATAACAACCATCGTCAAAATATTTGTGACCTTCCCAAACACCAATCAATTTCTCTAATTTTTCATTCACGATGGCTTCCTTAACACCCTGAGCTGTGAAAGCGTAGAGTTGCGGTACATACCGCGAAAGCATTTGTCGGATTGCGTCCAACTTTTTTCGCTGACTAAATTATGATAACTGGACTTTCAATAAATAGCAGTGCAAACTATGCAACTTCTAAATGATGAAAGTAATAATTTAACAAGTCTAGATCAGCAGATTGATCAAAGTGATTGTTTTGATGATTTTCATGCCTTTCAAAAGAACAGCAATTTTATTACGATCAGGAATAGCTTGGTGATCTAACAGTTTAAACTTTTCGAGGATACAATGGCTTTAACAAGCGTGCAATTTCCAGAAGTAATGGAATACTGAATAAACGGATAATCTTCGAATTTTACAAAGTGCAAAGCATCTGAATATCGGACTCTTTAAAATAATGGAGTTTCAAATAAAGTTTTAAAACAAGATATATGAATAATTCTCACCAATGATGAGCCCAATCGTTTATTAAATATAAAATATGAAGTTTGAATTGTTCAGTAGCACGTGGCTCCTTCACTCGATATAGTAGATACATCAGTATAGCTTCACGCAAGCGATCAGTTGTACATTTTTCGAATATCCATTTCTTGCTGTTCTAGAAAAATCAACGAAATAATAAAGGTGACATAATTTTGAAGTCCGAATATCTCGAAGAATTTCGAAAATAATGAAAGAAAAAACTGTCTTGACAAATAAAAACTAAGAAAGCATAAATTAAATGGAAACTCACTGAAATAACATCTTTACTACAATGACCACTAAGCTGATCGAGCATTTTTGAAAGGGGTTCAACATCCAACGAAACCTGCTCACATATGGATGTTATTTTGTCTGCTTCAGCCTTCTCGATTGCTATAGCAAGTTGGGCCTAAAAACACACAAGGAATAATTTTCAACAAAACTTCAGAAAGAAGAATTACCAAGATATAAATCCAAATAAAAACTATCGACAACAATTTGATTAATGCTTTAATTCGAAGAAGGAAATACAGTCGTGCATGTCCGCATATATATGGCATTGAATGGTAAAATAATGTCTGACTTTCGTATTGCAACAATTCTAACATTAAAATCATCGTCAGAAGCAACAATCAACACCTCTTTTTGCAATTCGATGGACTCAAATTGGGCCCTTAAGTTCGCCTCACTATCAGCAATTTGCTGGTTGAAAGTTGCAATTTGAGCCAAGGCTGCATTGGCGTCAAATTGTGGCACTTGTATGGCTGGTGGGGGAGCTAAAGTCGCAGGCGAATTTCCATCATTTACTGAAACCATAAAACAAGACTGTTTAATAGAAGCACTCATAAAACTACAAAAGAAAAAAACACTGCTTGCAAATTATTTACCGAAATGTAAAGCATTATAGACATTACCAGGCAGACGTTAAATCTCAGAAGGGATACATATAATGTTCCAAAGCACAGATTCATAACATTTTAAATATACAAAGAATGAATCTATTAACTGAATTACAGTTCAGGTCACTATACGTGATGGGCCCAAATGAAGGATAATTACTTCTGTATTTAGGCCCTTTACTATAACTTTTGCCTTTGAATTTTGCAACATGCAGCAACAAATAGCAAGGGCATATAACGTGGAAATTTTTGGAGGTTAATTATGACAGTCGTAGCTCCAGTATCTATGTGAACCGAAATTATCAAAGATATAATCACAAAAGATTTCGTTAAATTCATTTGATCGCTTATGTTTAGCTAAAATATTTGATGCGAAGATTAAAAATTATTGAAAAATTTCTTACACTTCTGAATTTCTTGCATTACTCGAAAACGATAGTAATCCGCAAATTCGCCACCATACAAAAAAGTAAAACGTGGATCGCCATACTGTTTGGCTCTCGTACGTTCCTCAAATTCCATTCCATTTTTCGCTACGAATTCTGCCAAACGATCAATGACATTTCGAGAATCTTCGTCTTCTGCAGTAATGGTGAGGAAGATAAAGAGCAAGGATTAAGATAACATTTTTTCAAAATTGAAAATCCTGCCTTTAAACTTAAATTCATGCATATTTTTGTCAAAGTTGTGGTAGCAATTTTTCCTTGTCCAATGATCAGAAAAAAGAGAAACGAAAGAGAGATAATAAATATCGGGATGTTTTACCTGGTGCTCGTGGTATTGATGTTGGACCTAATGATCCTGGACCTAGTGATGTTGGACCAAGCATAATTCATAGAAGCTGATTGTGTCCTCTTTAGGATAGTAATGAAACCTGCAAATATATCCGATTTCCTAATGGAAAGCAATCCAGCGGGAAACACTTCTTATCTCCCCCTGCCACCACGACAAAAACCAAATCTGAATTAACGATATGCCCGGACCACTAAATCTTAAACCATCGTGGCCGGCCCGGGTTTTCTAGGAAAATCCTGAGATTGGGAGGGTTGGGTCAACTGATAGGTGGTACGGGTCGATAGTGGTTAGCTAGTTGTGGGGAGCTGAGATTTGGGATGTCGCGGGGAAATCTAAAACAAAATGGGTACAGATTTATAACATAACGGTAGTCTATAATGATTTGATCGAAATTAAGGCGCAGTAACTTGTTTTCATTTCGCTGTATCAGTACCTTGAAATTATGGCAAAAACAACGATCGCTCCACCGACGGTACCTAAGAAAACTCCATCACTTACCTTTAAGGTACGTTATTTTCTATGGTTACTGTTGTTATAATTTCAGACCCGTTTAAATATTTATTGTTGTTGGGAAAGAGTGTACAGATGAGGTAAGAGATGAAATATATGCCATTCAGAATGCGTTTGATTGGAAAGTATTGCAGTAAATTAATGAGTAAGAGAGGAAGACAAGATGGAGGGATGAATTAACTTTTAATTAAGACGGTAATTGTTCAGTAATTATTCGACACGGAAAATATTTCAAGTGTTTGCACGGAATGATAACAATGAAGCGATCATGTCAAATATGGTAGAGTTAATCAGGTGGAAGATTTATGATCACGCAGTTGTGATCGGTTACGTTCAAGATTTACGTCAAACTAATCCCGTTCCCTATTTTACCAACTGCAGACTTTAATGCACCATGATTGTAGGACAAGGATAAGCCGGATAGTGTGCGAAGCAGTAATATCATTGCAGCAAAGGCTGTTGCTGATGCAATTAGAACAAGTCTGGGACCTAAAGGTTATTTCACTATTTCAAATTCAGTTACGATATGTTAGTTTTTTAACTGAACTACTTTTGGTTATCAGTCTTAACTTTGTTAAAAAAATTAGGTGATCAATGAGGATTGATGGCTTTATACGAATGCATATTTATTTCATGTTAGGGATGGATAAGATGATTGAAACGGGGAAAGGTGAAGTAACAATCACAAACGACGGTGCAACGATTTTGAAACAAATGAGTGTTATACATCCTGCGGCTAAAATGGTGAGATTTTACGACTTTTACTTTTTTTGCGACCTTCTACTTTTATTTATTCTGTACCTTCATCATCTCCCATCTCTTGAAATTTTTGCTAATATTTTACCAAATAGCATTTATTAATTGATGCCGTATTGACGGGTACATTACTATAAGGCTTAATTTGAAAAATACCGTTTTATATACCGGCCAAATCCAAATACTTTGATCCATCGAAACTTTTAAATCATTCCGATTGAAGTAGATCATAAAATTGAGAGTTATATTAATCGAATTGCTATTCTGAGACTATTCGATGGGACTTCATAAGGTCATGACTCTCATTTGGTTATGACATCCTATCAATCGGAGTTGTAATATAAAGTAAGAGTAATTTCAGGACATATGTTCCGGTTACTTCTTAATTAATATTGTTGCTATTAATTGAGCATACTATTGTGGAAAACTGATGAAAAATCCAAATCCAAATATCAAAGTATTCTCTTCTTTTAGCTTGTCGAACTATCGAAAGCACAGGATATCGAAGCTGGAGATGGAACGACAACGGTAGTTGTCATTGCCGGCGCGCTGCTTGATGGTGCAGATAAATTGTTAAACAAAGGTAATTCAATTGTATTGGTAATTCTGAACAAAAAGACATTAAAAGCAAAAAGCTTATAGAGTTGGTGGATCACGAAACCCTTCATTCTATTCCTACTCATATTTGAAATGCTGTTAAAAATATATGTTTGAAATGTATTGATCTGTGAAAGGGATTACTTTAGGAATTCATCCGACGACAATTTCGGAGAGTTTCCAACGTGCTTCAGTTCAGGCTGAAAAGATCCTGGAATCAATGGCTTCACCAGTCGATCTCGATAACGATGACCAACTTGCAAAAATTGCTACAACTAGTTTGAATTCTAAAGTAATTATTTCTTATACTTATTAATTTCTGTCTATAGTCTTCGTAATTCGATAAAAAAAGATCTCCGGAAACTTAGTTTTCGAGTGTCCTGACCATGTCAGCTTGGTTTTATCGTTTTTCCAAGGAAATGTAGTGAAGCGCCGCTTTCATTCAGCTTCGTCGTACAAGAGAAGGTTACTCATATAATAATAGTTTGAGATCGAGCAAGTTCTTATCAAGAGACCTGGAAAGGTGATCTATTATTTCTTACTGCTTGTTCATACTTTTTATTAGTATTTGGTTTGTTATTTTCTAAAAAAAAATTATTTTTTAGGTTGTATCCCAACACTCATGGTTGCTTGCGCCGATGGCAGTGAATGCTGTGAAAAAAGTAACTCATTATTTAGTTGGATGATATTTGTTAGAATTATATGATTTTCTTTTTTTTTTTAGAGATTAATCGTTGATTCGTGCCTTTATTCATGTGTAAAATTTTGCTATTTTAGATTATCAATACGGATGATAATAACGTTGATTTACGGATGATTAAAATCGTGAAGAAAGTGGGCGAAACTGTTGAAGAGTCTCGTTTAGTAGATGGAGCACTTATTGATCAGCGTTCCATGGGACGTGGTGGTCCAACTCGTGTTGAGAAAGCCCAAATTGGACTAATTCAGTTTCAGCTGAGTCCTCCTAAAACTGACGTATGCTCTTTTCCACCTCCATTCTGCAACTTATTGCTATCTCTATCTTACTGTTTGCTCTCTAATTTGTTAATTTGCATTAGATTATTTCGGAATTTTCGTTGGCGTTTTTTCTATGATTATTTTAGATGGAAAATCAAGTGATCTTGTCCGATTACACTCAAATGGATCGGGCTTTAAAGGAAGAGCGAACATACTTGCTTGACTTGTGCAAGCAAATCAAAAAGGCGGGATGTAATGTTTTGCTAATACAGAAAAGCATTCTCAGGTATTATAAACTTGTTTCTTATGTGAAATAGAGTTTCGATAACTAGAAAAGCATGATATGGAGACTAGGTGGTGATCGATGTCAGGAAAATTGATAGTTGGAAAGCTATCTTGTCCTCTTTTTCTGGAGCGGAAAGTGATTTTTGCGATTTTTTTTTTGAATAATGTTTTTGTCCAGTCCTGCACTGATCCATGATTCTAATAGGAAGTTAAGTAATAAAAGGAGGAAGAACTTCCACTTTCATATTTAAATCGAACTTTAAATTCTTTGATTTATAGTATTTGTTAAAGTTCACTTTTACATTAAGTAGTACTTGTTGAAGAGATGCGGTAAATGAGATGTCTTTGCATTTTTTGGCGAAAATGAAGATAATGGTAGTGAAAGATATTGAAAGAGAAGATATTGAATTTTACTCTCGCATTCTTGGTTGTCGTCCCATTGCGTCAATCGACCATTTCGTACCCGAAGCATTAGGTTCCGCAGACCTTGTCGAACAGATCTCAACAGGAGGAGAAGAGAAAATTATTCAGGTAAACTATTTCCATATTTGGCCGTCCTTAATACGTCGATGTCCGATACTCACGTTTTTAGATATAACAACAGAGTGAAACTCTATTATATATCATATCAGCTGCACACCATTAGTACTTGGAGAATAAAATCTATGTATTTGAGACGAGTGAATTAAATAGTTTTTAGGTTACCGGCGTGCAAAATCCTGGCCAAGCAGTTTCGGTTTTGATTCGTGGTTCTAACAAATTAGTGTTGGAAGAAGCAGAACGATCAATTCATGACGCACTTTGTGTTATACGGTGTTTGGTAAAAAAGAGAGCTCTCCTTCCTGGTTTGTCAAAATATTTAAAATTCATTTTTCATCAATTCCCTTTTTTCCAAAAGAAAACTAACTTTTGTATCGTCCCAAAAAAAGTCTTTTGATTATAGTAGTCCATGTGCTAATAAGGATATTTGCAGTCCGTAACCTCTTTTTCCACTTTAACACACTAATCCATCTCATTGATTTACCCTAACTGTGCTTTAGGTGGTGGTGCACCTGAAATGGAGGTAGCAGTGCAGCTGCGCCAACTAGCACAGGAAAGATCGGGTGCTGAACAGTACTGCTGGAGAGTTCGTTCTATTAATTACGTTTTTTGCGAAATTTCATAATGCATAGTGAAATCTCCTTTATTATAATGGCAAATATATCAATAATTTGGATTTCTATAATGTTTTTAGGTATTTATAAAGCTTCACGTGAAGCATGTAATGTTTTTTTCCGATTTCTTTTCAGGCTTTTGCGGATGCCTTGGAACAGGTTCCATACACATTAGCCGAAAATGCTGGTTTGAATCCGATAGCGACGGTTACTGAGTTGCGCACACAGCACGCAAATGGCAAAAAGAATCATGGAGTAAATGTTCGCAAGGTTAGTTTATTTATATACTTTTTAGAATAACTGTTATTCCTTTCTTCGGTGATTTCTGCTATCTGTACGACAAGTGTTCTCAGGATTAAAATCTTTACTCATAGAACTCCCACAAACTAATTTTCTCAGAGAGGCTATCGCTTTTCAGGGTTATGTTACTGATATCAGAGAAGAAAATGTGTTACAACCGCTTCTGGTATCGTCTTCAGCAATCAAGCAGGCTGCTGAATGTGTTCGCTCTATTCTCAAAATTGATGACATCGTAAGTTTATTGTGTTGAGGAATGATTTTTGCGAAACATTTTCATAAATTTTTATAAAACATAAATCCATAATTTATACTGAGTTTTCGTTTACTGTTTAGCGGGGTTCTTTCCAGTTTTAGTTTCTTTTTTTTTCTTCCTGCTGTAGTAGATAAAAAAGTAAAGCATGGATAAAGATACCACAATAATTGCTTGTCACATCATTTAAATATTATCTTGCAAAACTATCTTCCCTATACTGCGCTACTGCAGGCATCTATCTGCACGTCTACAGTACGGTAGTACAAGAAAGATACCTTTGCATTGAAAACGTTTAAGTAGAGCTGTTCAAGTAGTTAACAAGGTTTGTGTTGCAGGTGATGGCTGTTCGCTAATAAGACTGCATCCGTATTCTTCATGTTCACTCAATATCAAATTGTTGTTTCAGTTTACTGTTTTCCGTTAGCAATCCTATGACTTAACTACTGTGGAGTAAACTGTCAAATACATTTCTGGAAAGTTAAAAAAACTCCGGAGTTTTTGAAACTTACCAAGTTTTATTACCTTTCTACAGTCATTCTGTCAAACACTTTGTTCTCTACTTCGCTACATTTTTGCTGAAATATGTTATTTAAAAAAATAAAACAAAGCAAAAGTTTAGTTGTCCCGCACGATATTCTTTCACAAATACATCCCGCAACAGATGCTTATAATTTTTCTCCTTCTTTGCTTTCACCAGAAGCTTCAGCTCCAAACTCTGCAGCGTTACAGCCATCTTCTCTTTTGAATAGTTTACTGAATGAATTGAACGAAAAGATGTAGGTTTGGCAATGAGAAATCTAAATGCCCCGGGATAACAGCTAAAAGATATATTGGAAATTAATACTGGTATTCAGTGTGTAATTTTCATAGGTTTTGAATGAAGCATTCGAGTGGAATAATATATAGGTATATTGACAAACTTCCTTAACAATTCAAAAGAAAAAAAAAATTCTGTGACGATGAGATTTTAGCATGTATACAATTCTGTATTATCATTACATGCGGAGAGAGATGTATGACAAAAAACTATTTTATTATAAGCCGGGAAAAAATTTTGAATTATGAAGATAAAAATGTGGATTTTAGCAGACGGTAAATACAACGTTTATGACAAAAGAAGAAAGAATACATTTCATCCAATTATCAAGAAATGAAATAAATTGTTAGAAAAAAAAAAACTCTTTCAAGATCATTGAATCTTTTCATTAATTTCTAAAAGTTTTTGAAAAGGAAAAAAAGTGAGTTAGTCACGGAAATTTAGGAAACTAAAACATTGAATATGTTATTTAATAAAAATGAAATTGAATAAATGTTTATTAAATTAAAATAAATTCAAATAAATTTACTTTAAAATTTGTCTTCTAAGTTGATATTTTATCAATTGATATATTTAAAATTATGAAGCTATTAATGCTCTAATTATAAATGTAAAATATGCTAAAATGCAAAACGCAAAAAAAAAAAAAAAGAAAAAATGGTTTAATAAATTTGTAACGTTTTAAAAATTTTAATTAAAATTTATGATAAATTTAATTTTATACAATAAAATTATCATAAAAATCATGAATATATAATAAAATTTTTCATTTATTTATCCTTGATATGCAACTTTATCAATATTATCCATTTCATGACATCGTTGTAAATATGCCTTGAAATTTCCACACATTTTTGGTTCTGCTGAATGTGTTTTTTCTGTAAAAATTAATAATTTTATCATTTTTTTTTCTTTTTTTTAAAATTCTAAAATGAATTATCAATGAAAAATTAATAATCAATTTTATCATTTTTTTTTAAAATTCTAAAATGAATTATCAATGATATAAAAACTTTTGTTACTCATTAATCATAGCAAAATGATATTTTTAAAATTTGTCATAATTTTTGGATGATAATATTTTTTATTTAAATAATTGAATATTAATGAAATGAATGTAATTGTTATTATGTAATCGAATTGAGAAGACTTCTCAAATCTTATATTAATATATTAAAATTATTTAATTTTATTTGATTTCTTTCTATATTTAATTTCTAAATTATTGCTTTGTTCATTGAGTTAAATTACTTATATTGCAGAGTAATGTTGAATTAATGATTTTTATATAATTATAATGATAATATATTACTGATACGGATGATAATATGATTGCTAACATGATAATATATTACTGATATAAATTTCAATTACTAAATCAGTCAATGAACACAATGATATTTTTGATGATTACAAATTTATTAGCAAATTGATAATTTTTAATAGATAAAATTGTAAATTAATTACCTAAAAATGCATTGCTAATATCGATCTTTGGTTTAATCATTTCGATTGTAGATTGTGTCGATAATTTTGCTGCGATTAATTCATTTTCTTCATCATTTTCTGTTAGCATAGAAAAAAAAGCAATGAAAATTAAAAATATCGAAAAAGAAAGATTGAATTTTTTTTTTTTTGAAAAAAAGGGTTTAATAATTTTAAAAAAAAATTATTTTAAAGTATTTATAATTCAAAATTCAAAACATTTTTAATTGATAATTTTAAAAAGATTTATGTACAATAAAAGTATTCGTCTTTCTATGCTTTCTTTTTTTATTTCAAAAAAAAAAAGAAGTTGAAACCAGATGATGTTTGTCCAGTAGTTCGTTGTTCTTCATAAACTTCCATCCAATGACTTTCTGTATCTTCATCAACACAATTCTGATAGAATTTTGTTGCATGAAGCATTTCGGTTGAACCAGCTTCAAAAATTTCAATTTGAAAATATATCATTTAATTAATTATCATATCAGTAATGTAATCTTTAATTATCAATTTATTGCTCTCATTTATATTCTGTTAATAATTTAAAAGAAAGGGTAAATTAAAATGATTAAAAGTAAGGATGATTTTAAAATGCTAAACTAAATTAAAATATTTATACTTTTTTTTTTCCTTTTTAACTAATTATTAATGTCATCTGTTAAATGTATTCTATTTTAATTTATATTCATCATTTGCAATTATCATTGAATGTTTAAATTATAAATTAAGCTATATAAATCTTTCGTGAATATTATCATATAAGTTAAAAAAATAATTTGATAATTTATTTTAAGTCCAAACATTTATTAGTATTTCTAGACTTAAAAATAA